AAGGGTATTTTGGTCACAAAATCTCAAATAATGAAGGAAAAAAAAAGTATAAGTGAGGTTTTGAAAGATTTGGGCTTTTTTTTTAAAAAAAAAAAAATAACCCCAAAAATAAGGGATATTTTAGATAATCTCCCTAGATTATTCAATAGATATATTCACTTGCATGAAGATCTTTTAGTGAGCCAAGTAGTTCCATCGTATAAGGTACACAAAATTTAAATGCGGAAATTCTTGAAAACACAAGTGAGCCCACTTGGAATTTCATGTTCCAAACTCACTTGTCTTTTCCCCCTCTATTTTTGTGAATAAGCGATTTGAAATTTCAAATTCCAATTCGGATTATTTGTAAAAACAATGGTTCCGAACGTGAACTATGGAACCAATGTTTTGGTTAGAAAAACAAAAACCATGTTTTGAGGTATTTTGAAAGAAAAATTATAAAAAATGGATATGAGCATAAAATACCTATAAGTAAATTTCTACAGTATTTCACTCATGGCTCATAACCATCTAAAGTCCAACAGATGACCATGATTATCTAATAGTATTGAGTTTTAATATTTTTCTATATATCTTGTTTATCTAAATTTTGATGTGCGTGTACATCAGAACACAATCGAACAAACGTGATTGTCTGATAGACTTTGTATTATGCATAAAAGCTCTAAAACTTGATGGGTTAATTTTTGGCAAATAAGGAGCTAAGAAAATAGAACCCACAACAAGTAAATAACAAGCATGAAAAATAATGCATAAAAGAAAGGGTGCGGTTTGTATAGAGCCTACCTTCAAATAGTGTTGAGAAATGTGGTTTCAATACTGAAAATATTTGTGATAGCCTTAAAATATATTTTCATCTTTATTTATAAAGTTTAAAGCTTAAAAAATAGTGCAGATTGATAGATCCATGAAAACTTGAGAATCTTGAAAATTGACGGTCAAAAAATGCATTACAAAATTCACTATTTCTAAAACTTGAAATTCATTTTTTTCTAATGTCCATGCATCTTGATGTCGAGATGCTCAATTTGAGGATATTTGGGCACCAAAACAACATCTTCTAGTGAAATTTTTGAGGTAGGCTCAAATTTGATTATTTAGAGCCTTTGCTCTATATAAATTTTTCCCTAAAAGAAATAATGCAAAAAGAACAACAAAATTTCATGTGGCTCATCACAGATGTGGCTATATTTATGGGTAAAGACAAACAATGATATTTGTACTAATTAAAATAAATATAATTACAAGGCACTTATCTGAGTGAACCATAGATACAAACTCGATTTCCCACAAAATCTCTCTTTCTCTGCAATTTTCTCTTTCTACACAACCTTAGTTTCCTTTTTTTTTTTTTATTTTATTTTATTTTATTTTTTTTTATTTTTAGCACTTTCTCTCTCTATAGCATGACCCAATGCAAAAAGAAAAAAAAGGTGGTATGTGATTCCCCATCTTTCTCTAACTATAGGGAAACTTTTACTTTATCCAAATCTTTTTCCACAAGTCTATCTTAATCTCAATAAGACTTACCCAAAAGCAACTTCTTGTACAATAGGAAATTAGTTACTAACAATCCTCATTAAATAGAAAACCAACCCAAAATAAAAGAAAACTAATCCTTTAATAATAGGGATTCAAACTAATCCTTTAATAATAGGGATTCAAGACACACTACAACAAATTTCAACCTTGACTTGAGTTTCAAAAGAGATTCGTATCGATTGTCTTCTCCACATATGTCCCATGAAAGTGCTCACCTTGGCAATACGTTACTCAAGTAATAGAATTGGTTTTATCAGCAACATTTTTCATTGCATCAATCTATATCACTTTCAGCTATTATCTTACTGATAAAATGGTACATAACATTAATATATTTTATCTTTGTATAATCTATATCACTTTCAGCTATTATCTTACTGATAAAATGGTACATAACATTAATATACTTTATCCTTGTATGATATACGTGGTACATAATATTAATATACTTTATCCTTGTATGATATACGTAGTTTTTCATCAATATAAGGGTACATTAATCTTTTAAAATTATTTTCCTTTAAAAAATATTTTTTAAAAAACAGGCCTTTCCCTCTTTTGTTGGACATGAAAACAACAACCTAAATGAGAAATGATACGAAAATGTTCTCCCTTTGACTCGCTGTAGTTAGGAGAACTACATCCCACCTAAAAGGGAGGAGTGTCATTTTCCCTCCTTCCTCTCTCTCTCTCTCTCTCTCAAGTGAGACCACGGTTGGTAGGAACGCAACAACCATTATTTCCCCGTGGTCTTTCAACATCCAAATTCTTGTTAAAAAAGCAATACCACTTCTTGGCTTCGATGCCATCTTATATGCAAAATTTTCTTATTCCATTGCAAACCCTTTTTTGTTTCTCCAATTGTGAACAACTAGAAGCATTATCATCGTTTAGAAAAGCAAATGAATTTTAATATTTTCTGTACAAATTCAAATCACTTGAAATTTAAAGCGTCTATCTTTCTTATTAATGTGCATCTAACAAAAATATTAAAAAATAATTTGTAAAACATAAATTGATCAAAGTATCTTTAAAAACTTTAAGAGTATTTTGGTCAATTTATTCTTGTAAATTATTATATTGATATTTTATTAAGTGCACCTATTTTTGAAGAGCAAATGTTCTAAATATTAAGTGATTTGAATTTGTAAAAGAAAAATTCAAATTTAACAATGAAACATGATTATAGCTGTCTGATCAATCCATATTCAATCTAAGATATAGTGTTTATAATATTGCATTAGCTCTTGGGCTGACAAATTCTCTCTCTCTCTCT